TGGTAATCATTAGGGTTAGCAGTAATTGTTATGGTTAGAACTAGGTATCAGTGCCGATACCGAGTATTTGCCCGACTACATGTACTTGAGCAAAAGCTCCTATACCCAAAACTGATACCTTTGTGGTGCGTTTTGAGCGCATACAAAATTAATAAGCTCAAATCGCACTGCAAAGGATTGCATGCAATTTGAACAGGAATGAGGTGCGATTCCTGTCTGAATTGCATACGATTCCAGCGCCGATCCTGTGTGATTCCAGGCTTTTCATAGTGACTTCAGCCTGGGTTCACACAGGAATGGTGTGGAAAACCGCATGCAATTCGGACAGGAATCATTCCTGTTCAAATCGTATGCGATTCTTTTGGAGTGCGATTTAAGCACATTTATTTTGTATGGGCTAAAATTGCACCCCAAAAGGTATCAGTACTTGACTGAAAATATCAGTACTCGTACTCGCCGGTAAAAAAAACGGTATCGGTGCAACCCTAATTGGAACACTAAGGGTTACAGATAGAGTTAGGGTTAGCGTTGTTACTGTTAGTATTCTAACCCTTACAGTTACTGCTAACCTTAATGAATACTGCTTACCCTAACCCAAAACTTCTTATACCCAACAATTACTCCTAACCCTAATGATTATTGCTTACCCTAACCCAAAACTTCTTATACCCAACAATTACTCCTAACCCTAATGATTATTGCTTACCCTAACCCAAAACTTCTTATACCCAACAGTTACTGCTAACCTTAATGAATACTGCTTACCCTGACCCAAAACTTCTTATACCCAACAATTACTGCTAACCTTAATGAATATCGCTTACCCTAACACAAAACTTCTTATACCCAACAATTACTGCTAACCCTAATGATTATTGCTTACCCTAACCCAAAACTGTAATGCACTGCTCAAAAAAATTAAAGGAACACTTTGAAAACACATTAGATTTCAATGGGGGAAAATCTCATGCTGGATATCTATACTGATATGGACTGGGTAATGTGTTAGGAATGTAAGGATGCCCCATCGTTTGATGGAAATGAAAATGATCGACCTACAGAGGACTGAATTCAAAGACACCCCAAAAATCAAAGTGAAAAAATGATGCAGCAGGCTAATCCATTTTGCTGAAGTTTCATTGCAGCAACTCAGAATGGTACTTAGTAGTTTGTATGGCCCCCATGTGCTTGTATGCATGCCTGATAATGTCAGGGTATGCTCCTAATGAGACGACAGATGGTGTCCAGGGGTATTTCCTCCCAGATCTGTACCAGAGCATCACTGAGCTCCTGGACAGTCTGAGGCGGCGTCAGATGGACCAAAACATGATATCCCAGAGGTTTTCTATTGGATTTAGGTCAGGCGAGCGTGGGGGCTATTTAATGATATCAATTCCTTCATCTTCCAGGAACTGCCTGCATACTCTTGCCACATGAGGCTGGGCATTGTCGTGCACCAGGAGGAACCCAGGACCCACTGCACCAGCGTAGGATCTGACAATGGGTCCAAGGATTTCATCCCGATACCTAATGGCAGTCAGGGTGCCATTGTCTAGCCTGTAGAGGTCTGTGCGTCCTTCCATGGATATGCCTCCCCAGACCATCACTGACCCACCACAAAAACAGTCATGCTGAGAGATGTTACAGACAGCATAATGTACTCCACGTCTTCTCCAGACCCTTTCATGTCTGTCACATGTGCTCAGGGTGAATCTGCTCTCATCTGTGAAAAGCACAGGGTGCCAGTGGCGGACCTGTCAATTCTGGTGTTCAATGGCAAATGCCAATCGAGGTCTATGGTTCCGGGCAGTGAGCATAGGGCCCACTAGAGGAGGTCGGGCCCTCAGGATACCCTCATGAAGTCTGTTTCTGATTGTTCGGTCAGAGACATTCACACTAGTGGTCTGCTGGAGGTCATTTTGTAGGGCTCTGGCAGTGCTCATCCTGTTCCTCCTTGCACAAAGGAGCAGATACCGGTCCTGCTGATTGGTTAAGGACCTTCTACGGCCCTGTCCAGCTCTCCTAGAGTAACTGACTGTCTCCTGGAAACTCCTCCATGCTCTTGAGACTGCGCTGGGAGACACAGCAAACTTTCTGGCAATGGCACGTATTGATGTGCCATCCTGGAGGAGTTGGACTGCCTGTGCAACCTCTGTAGGGTCCAGGTATCGCCTCATGCTACCAGTAGTGACACTGACCCTAGCCAAATGCAAAACTAGTGAAAAGCAGTCAGAAAAGATGAGTAGGGAAAAAAAAATATTAGTGGCCTTCACCTGTAAAACCATTCCTGTTTTGGGGGTCATCTCATTGTTGCCCATCTGGTGCCCCTGTTGTTAAATTCATTAACAACAAAGCAGCTGAAAGTGATTAACAACCCCCTCTGCTACTTAACTGACCAGATCAATATCCCAGGAGTTTAATTGACTTGATGCTATACTCTGATTTAAAAGGGTTCCTTTTTAATTTTTTTTGAGCAGTGTACCTATTGGAAAAAAAAAATGCATGAAAAAACGAAAACACTTGCGTGAAGTCTATTACATGTGTTTGTGGGGAAAAAAAAGTCCCTGATCCATTCCAAAAAACACACCAGCTCAAAATGCACAGATGTGAACAAGATCCAAAGAAAATGCACAGATATGAACTAGATCCAAAGAAAATGCACAGATATGAACTAGATCCAAAGAAAACGCACAGATGTAAACTAGATCCAAAGAAAACGCACACATGTGAACTAGATCCAAAGAAAACGCACAGATGTGAACTAGATCCAAAGAAAACGCACACATGTGAACTAGATCCAAAGAAAACGCACAGATATGAACTAGATCTAAAAGAAAACGCACAGATATGAACTAGATCCCAAAAAAACGCACAGATGTGAACTAGATCCAAAGAAAATGCACACACATTAACTAGATCTAAAGAAAACGCACAGATTTGAACTAGATGCAAAGAAAACACACAGATGTGAACTAGATCCAAAGAAAACGCACAGATGTGGACTGGATCCAAAGAAAACGCACACATGTGAACTAGATCCAAAGAAAACGCACACATGTAAACTAGATCTAAAGAAAAAGCACAGATGTGAACTAGATCCAAAAAAAACGCACAGATGTGAACTAGATCCAAAGAAAACGCACAGATGTGAACTAGATCCAAAGAAAATGCACAGATGTGAACTAGATCCAAAGAAAACGCACAGATGTGAACTAGATCCAAAGAAAACGCACAGATGTGAACTAGATCTAAAGAAAACGCACAGATGTGAACTAGATCCAAAGAAAACGCACAGATGTGAACTAGATCCAAAGAAAACGCACAGATGTGAACTAGATCCAAAGAAAACGCACAGATGTGAACTAGATCCAAAGAAAACGCACAGATGTGAACTAGATCCAAAGAAAACGCACAGATGTGAACTAGATCCAAAGAAAACGCACAGATGTGAACTAGATCCAAAGAAAATGCACAGATGTGAACTAGATCCAAAGAAAACACACAGATGTGAACTAGATCCAAAGAAAACGCACAGATATGAACTAGATCTAAAGAAAACGCACAGATATGAACTAGATCCCAAAAAAACGCACAGATGTGAACTAGATCCAAAGAAAATGCACACACATTAACTAGATCTAAAGAAAACGCACAGATTTGAACTAGATGCAAAGAAAACACACAGATGTGAACTAGATCCAAAGAAAACGCACAGATGTGGAACTGGATCCAAAGAAAACGCACACATGTGAACTAGATCCAAAGAAAACGCACACATGTAAACTAGATCTAAAGAAAAAGCACAGATGTGAACTAGATCCAAAAAAAACGCACAGATGTGAACTAGATCCAAAGAAAACGCACAGATGTGAACTAGATCCAAAGAAAATGCACAGATGTGAACTAGATCCAAAGAAAACGCACAGATGTGAACTAGATCCAAAGAAAACGCACAGATGTGAACTAGATCTAAAGAAAACGCACAGATGTGAACTAGATCCAAAGAAAACGCACAGATGTGAACTAGATCCAAAGAAAACGCACAGATGTGAACTAGATCCAAAGAAAACGCACAGATGTGAACTAGATCCAAAGAAAACGCACAGATGTGAACTAGATCCAAAGAAAACGCACAGATGTGAACTAGATCCAAAGAAAACGCACAGATGTGAACTAGATCCAAAGAAAATGCACAGATGATGAACTAGATCCAAAAAAAAAACACACAGATGTGAACTAGATCCAAAGAAAACGCACAGATGTGAACTAGATCTAAAAAAAAGCACAGATATGAACTAGATCCAAAAAAAAAACGCACAGATGTGAACTAGATCCAAAGAACATGCACGCACATTAACTAGATGCAAAGAAAACACACAGATGTGAACTAGATCCAAAGAAAACGCACAGATGTGAACTAGATCCAAAGAAAATGCACACATGTGAACTAGATCTAAAGAAAAAGCACAGATATGAACTAGATCCAAAAAAAACGCACAGATGTGAACTAGATCCAAAGAAAACGCACAGATGTGAACTAGATCCAAAGAAAACCATGTTAAACAGACTATAGTTTCTGCAAACCGGAAAACGCTCAGGTGTGAACCTAGGCTCACACCTTTGGCATATGAGGTTCTTTCGTCAGATCCCAGGAGATATGTTGGGACTTGTAAACAATGCAGGAGCCCATACTTTGCAGCCACCATGATCTGAAGGCAGTTGCAATGCTCTGCAGGCTTCATCGCCAATGTCATACTGGCACTTTTTATTTTAATAATGTGGGTACATTTACTGCAATAGCTGGATTGTATCTTTACTGTCAATATGCAGTTTTAGGAACACAGAAAGGAAGAGCTGTACATGGCAGACATTGGGAACAGCCAGGTCTGCATTAGGACAGCACAGCACCATGAGATGTGACGTAATACATCACCAATGGTGTGCTGTGTTCCGGTCACGTGTACCCAGCACTGACAGCCGGCCACGCCTCCTCCACAGACATGGCAGCGGTAGGGAGCAGGGCTCCGATCCTGTGCTTACTGATCATTTGTGGTTTCATCCTGCTGCTCTCCAGGAGTCAGACTCTAGGTACACTATACACGTCATCGTATGTACGTACACTGCTGTCACTGAACGCTTTAGGGTGCAGGGTAACAGAGCTGTCACTAGGGGATATATATGTATAGAATCGGATCGTGACTGCACTATGGGAGATCTGTCACAAATCGTATTCTACCCTGTAGAGTGGAAACAGCAGGCAGGATTTTTGGAGAAGCCAAACCATTTCCCTGCTTTCCAAGCCCCCTCCAATAGACCCCCCGTAGAACAGACTTGGCTCCTTCAGCAGGATTTACGGAAGCACGATCTCTCATTGACCATTAGGGGGCAGCACCTTGTCTTTCCTGTACACATAATTCAGAGAGAGAGAAAATCCAACTGGAAATGAGATGCTAAATACTGTTTTTATGATCATGTGCCAATGACAAATGAAAACCCAATCTTTATTACTTTTACTACATTTGTATGCAACAGCTAGGATTATTTCCAGGGATAATCTCTTTTTATTGCACTTGCCTACAGGAATGAATAATATAGTGTAGCGCAACAAACTAATAGCTCATATAAAAATTAATTGAAAAACAATCATTAAAATCTCATTTAAGGCTAGGTTCACACCTATGCCGGTTGTGTTTGAGGCATTTCTGCATTGCATTTTGCGTTTTTGCACTTGCATTTTTTGTGGGTTTTTTTTTTTTTTTATATTTATTATAGGTTCAGACTGGAAGTGATTAAAAGTGTCCAGACTGGAAGTGATTAAAAGGGTCCAGACTGGAAGTGATTAAAAGGGTCCAGACTGGAAGTGATTAAAAGGGTCCAGACTGGAAGTGATTAAAAGTGTCCAGACTGGAAGTGATTAAAAGGGTCCGGACTGGAAGTGGAATAAAAGCGTCCGGACTGGAAGTGATCCAGACTGGAAGTGGGTCCAGACTGGAAGTGATAAAAAGCGTCCAGACTGGAAGTGTAAAAAGCGTCCAGACTGGAAGTGATTAAAAGTGTCCAGACTGGAAGTGATTAAAAGCGTCCGGACTGGAAGTGGTTATAAAAGCGTCCGGACTGGAAGTGGTTAAAAGCGTCCAGACTGGAAGTGGTAAAAAGCGTCCAGACTGGAAGTGGTAAAAAGCGTCCAGACTGGAAGTGGTTTAAAAGCGTCCAGACTGGAAGTGGTGATTAAAAGCGTCCAGACTGGAAGTGATTAAAAGCGTCCAGACTGGAAGTGGTTAAAAGCGTCCAGACTGGAAGTGGTTAAAAGCGTCCAGACTGGAAGTGGTTAAAAGCGTCCAGACTGGAAGTGGTTAAAAAGCGTCCAGCGTGGTTAAAAGTGTCCAGACTGGAAGTGGTTAAAAGCGTCCGGACTGGAAGTGATTAAAAGGGTCCAGACTGGAAGTGGTTAAAAGCGTCTAGACTGGAAGTGGTTAAAAAGTTACACACCTGCAGCGGTTCGCATGAATGGGGTGTGATCATGATGCGGTGCAGAAATCGCACAGAAACCAGGGCGAATTTTGCACCGCATCAGTGTGAACCCGGGCTTAGTGCTCAATCACATAGGTGAGAGAAGATTTATTTTATACACCTTGCACAGTGATGTTTTATTTATTTATTTCAGGTACTTATATAGCGCCATCAATTTACGCAGCACTTTACATATATATTGTACATTCACATCAGTCCCTAACCCTCAAGGGGCGTACAATCTAAGGCCCCTAACTCACATTCATGCATACACATACTAGGGCCAATGTAGACAGGAGCCAATTCACCTACCAGCATGTCTTTGGAGTGTGGGAGGAACTCTTGTTGCTTGTAATGCATCAAAAACACAGCAAAAACGCATTCCATGCTTTTCTACAGTGGTTCCATTGAAGTCTATAGAACCAAAAACGCTACTTTTTGCATTCAAAAAAGTCCCTGACCATTTCCAAAAAAAAACACCAGGTGAAAATGCAGAGATGTGAACCTGTCCCATAGGAAATCATGTTAAATGGACTGTACTGAGTTTCTGAAAAACGCTGCAGAAAACTCTTAGGACGTGAACCTGGGGTAAAAAATAGTCTCTTATAACATTCCAAAGACATGCTGGTAGGTTAATTGGCTCCTGTCTACATTGGCCCTAGTATGTGTATGTATGGATGTGAGTTAGGGACCTTAGATTGTACACCCCTTGAGGGTTAGGGACTCATGTGAATGTACAATATATATGTAAAGTGCTGCGTAAATTGATGGCGCTATATAAGTACCTATAATCAATAAATCATCACTATACAAGGTGTATAAAATAAATCTTCTTTCACCTATGTGATTGTGATGCAGAAGGCGTGCTTGTTATACTCACTGTGGAACCTAAGGGGTTAATCCTCTGCATTGTGTAAAAATACGGTTTGATCTTGTCTTCTCTGATCCTCCCCTTCCAGTATTCCCCTCTTATCTCCTGATAAGACATACCGTGTGGAGTCACTTTGCACATGCTCAGTTTAGTGTGTATTGCTAGAGAGGTTTATTTTTTTTTTTCTTGGGAGAATGCATGTGATCAGCACAGAGCCAATTAGCACTGTCCAGACAGAGGCCTGGGGTTCTGCATCCTCCTAGAGCAGAAAGAAAACTCCTCCTACAAGCTTTAACCAGTGCTCTGCTGAACACTGATAGAAGTCACACGACTGCTCTAACTGCAGATGAGAAAATGTATTTAGCAGTTTATATTTACTAAAATAATTGCATTTCCATGTTCTGTGTACTGTGGGTGACCAGATAGAGTGAATGCAGGATCACAGTTCTGTACACAAGACCTGGCTAAAATGGGTTTAGTAACCCTTTATTCACTTGCCTACTGGGCACTTATACCCCCTTTGTGCCCAGACCAATTTTCAGCTTTCAGCGCTGTCACACTTTGAGTGACAATTGCGCAGTCATGCAACACTGTACCCATATGAAATTTTTATCATTTTTTTCACACAAATAGAGCTTTCTTTTGGTGGTATGTATTCGCCGCTGGTTGTTTTATTTTTTGCGCTATAAACAAAAAAAAAAAAAGCAAAAATGTTGAAAAAAAAAAGTTTTTCTTTGTTTCTATTATAAAATTTAGCAAACAGGTAATTTTTCTCTTTCACTGATGTGCATTAATGAGGCTGCACTGATAGGCAGCACTGACAGGCGGCACTGACTGGTCATGATGGGCAACACTGAGCTGGTACTGATATGCAACAATGATGGGCACTGATAGGCAGCACTGTTGGGTGGCACTGCTGGGCACAGGTGGGTGGCACTGCTGGGGCACTGATCATCAGAGCACTGATCATTAGTACCCTGATGATCGGTGCCGATCCGATCTCTGACAATTGCTGGTTATCGGCAGTACTTTAACAGCGCGAGGAAAGTGCAGCCGATAACCGGCAACTGCATTTACCGGTGATATGCTGTGTCATTGGACACAGCTGATCACGTGGCAAAAGGCCACTGTGATTGGGGGAGCACGGGAGGGCGCGTTCTGGCCAGCCGCCGTAAACCGTGATTCGGCTATCTGCGTTTGTCAAGTGGTTAAGGGCTCTAGCCTACTGAGGAAGCCCGAATCTGGGGCCTAACGCATATAGGTGGAAGGAGCTCTGCCCTAGATGTTATGAATTGGTGACCATCTAGGAGAGCGGGGTGGTGAGCCATGTAATGAAATTATACATTAAATGCTGGCTTGTTTCTTACATTTTGTAAGTGTTTTTAACCTGGGCGCTAATAAATCCTTTCATAAACAGAGCACTATGGTTCCACTTTTCTGTTTTCCATAATACATATTATATGAGAGCGTCAGCTCGAGGAGTATATACTGTGTATACCAGTAGAGGAGCTGGAGGAAGACCACAGAGGGTGTACACAAATCTGTCTACATGTTGAGGGCATAATGACCTATTGATGACGTCATAAAGCGAGGGCATAATGACCTATTGATGAGGTCATAAAGCGAGGGCATAATGACCTATTGATGAGGTCATAAAGCGAGGGCAAATGACCTATTGATGAGGTCATAAAGCGAGGGCATAAAATGACCTATTGATGAGGTCATAAAGCGAGGGCATAAAGACCTATTAATGAGGTCATTAAGCGAGGGCATAATGACCTATTGATGAGGTCATTAAGCGAGGGCATAATGACCTATTGATGAGGTCATAAAGTGAGGTGAGCAGGTTTTTCCCCTAATGGTGGTGGTGCAGTTGGCACTGAAGAAGAGAGAAGATTTATCTTATACACATTGCACAGTGATGTTATATGAGACATTTTTTATGGGACTTTTACTATTGTTTTTGATTAATTTTTCTATGACATAATAGTTTGTTGCGCTTTGTTGTTATTCATTTTGGTACAGGCGTTGTGAAGTCATTAACAGTGTTTTAGCAGCAACTATTTAGAGCACTATTGTATTATTTTAGGGGTGTTTCGCTGATTGAGTAGGGTTTAGATTTAGCCTACAGGAATGATCGCAGTTTTAGAGCTTAATCACATGGGTGGCCAGAGGACTGCAGCTCAACCACCTGCTTTTACTGCCCCAGACCACCCAAGGGGATGCAGTCATCCAGGCCTGTACACATGCCATGGCTAGGATGCTTTGCTTCACAGCAACAGGAAAAATTTAATATTGCATATTGCATTCAGTGGGTGGTATTGCCTTTAAATCTGACCCATTAAAGTTATTAACCATTAGCCGCCCGGCCAATGGCCGTTTGGCGGCAGCAAAAACGCTTCGGCATTCCGGGTGCACGCCATTTGGCGTGCTCCCGCACATGCGCAGTTCGCGCGGTTGCAGAGCCGCGCAGTGGCTATGGTAACATTGTACTACTTTGGTCATAGTAAAATATGAAAAAAAAATCTTAAAAAAAATTTAAAAAAGTAATAAAAAATTAAAAATAAAAAAAAAAAAAATTTTTTTTTTTTTCATACTGTCACCAGTCAGTGTCCCTGTTCACCGCCATGCCAGTTATATGATGACGCTGTACTGCACTGGTGACAGTACGTAAAAAAAAAAATAGTGAAAATAATTTTTTTAATTTTTTCATTTTCCGAAAAATTATGACAAAAAAATACAACTTCAAAAAACTCGCCATTCCTCTTATGAAGTACGTCGGACTGTCTACTCTGCAAAAAGGGGTCATTTGGGGGATATCTGTACTGTTCGGACATTCTTGGACCTCAAGAAATTAGATTGGCCATCAGTACTTCAGGATTGATCAATTTTCAGATCTATACCATAGTTTGTGAACTCTATAACTTTCCTACAGACTAAATAATACATCCTAATTTGGGTTATTTTCACCAAAGACATGTAGCAGAATACATCTCGGCCTAAATTTATGAAGAACAATTGTTTATTTGTAAACTTTTATAACAGAAACAAAAAAAACATGTTTTTTTTTTCAAAACTTTTGGTCTTTTTTTGTTAATTTAGCAAAAAATAAAAACCCCAGCGGTGATTAAATACCACCAAAAGAAAGCTCTAGTTGTGTGAAGAAAATGATAAAATTTTAGTTTGGGTGCAATGTTGTATGACCGCGCAATTGTCATTCAAAGTGTGAGAGCGCTGAAACCTGAAAAATGGCCTGGGCAGGAAGGTGTAAAATTGCCCGGTATTGAAATGGTTAAAGAGTAACCCCACTTTTGTTGAGAAAAAAACTTTCCCCTCTGGGTGATCTATGTACATTGCAAGGATTTTAACAGACTTTGTTGCAGATTCTTACCTTTTGTTGTTCTGAAGAAAGAGTTGCTTGTGTCCATGTGCAGAGTGAATCTGTATAGGAGCGGTTTGACAATTATCAATAAGCTTCTGCACCTTCAGGGCTCCAAGGAGGAAAGTGGCAGGGTCTGCACCCCTTTAGTCTTGATTTCCCTTTGGGAGTATCTCACCAAAAATGACATTTTGTTGCATGGGATGTAAAAAAATGTGACTTGTATCTTAGTACAGACTTCTGGGAAAATCAATGAGCCAATCACACAAGCAGGAATTTACATTTCTGGGGGGCATTCTGTACACCATCTGTGTACAGAACACCTCCAGGTAGCCATATTGTATTCCATTTTACAGAAAATGATACAGCTGCAGTTTGAAAAGGAGAGGTCATTTTTAATAACATTCAGTTACAATATGACTTGGGTTGCAATTGTATATGCTATATTATCTTTATATTTGCTTTTTTTTCCCCCACAAAAGTGGAGTTACCCTTTAAGGCCATACCACAACCTCCCAGTAACTACATGTGATGCACACAGTTGCAGCGCAGTGGGTCAGCATTTTCAGAGTTAAAACAGGAGGTGACATATCAGCTCCTCAGCACCGTCAAACACCAAATTTATGATCCACGACGGATCACTTTTCAGGGAGCAGTACAGCTTTGGCTGACAGCTTTTCTTTTTAACAATCAAATGAGGTTTGTGAATGGGAATACTGTGTCACAACCACACGCCTAGCATTTGACAGTTGCAGCACTGCCCTATTCACTTCAATAAGTCGCATTGTGTACTACTTCATCCAGTTGACGTGTTACTTTACAGTGGGCGGTAAAACCCCAGTTCAACTGCTTATTTTTACCTGCCCCCCCCCCTTCCTGACTGCAGGTGTGAGTCCTTTTTTGCTGCAGATAAACAGCTACATATATTGGTGAATAACACATGTAAATGGTCAACCTGGTAAAAAAATGTGTAATCCAGTCTAGTGATCCTGACACCACTGCCAAAAAATATTAAATCCACCCATATTGTAAAAAGAAAAACTGGGGAGATTTTACCCCCGTTTCTGTCCATGCGCATCAGGGCAGGAAATGAGGGAATCAGTTGTTACAGGGATGGGAAGACACAGAAAGTAAGAAATTGAGTAGGAATTTAAATTTAAAGCGCTTTTTCACTTCCTCTCCCCACCACTTTTTTTTCTGGGGGGGGGGAGCGGGTACCTAGTTTCAACAGGTACCCAGATTGCTCCCCCCCTTTGCCCACAGCCTTCAAGGACATGTCACAGGTCCCAGATGGCTGCAGGATTGTTCACAAAGCAAAGCACGGCTTGTGTATGCGCAGTGGAAAGCTGGCTTCCCTTTGTGAACATGCCGGCGCTGGGGACCCACTGGATCCCTGACTATTTGTAGCTGCTGACTTAATTTTTTTTTTTTGGAGGGGGCTGAAGCTCCTCTTTAAATGGATTTAACCCTTGTCAACCCATAGCTGCTATTTAAATCCATTTGGCTAGTTCCTCCAGTAGGGTTAAAGCTGATCTCCAGGTTTACTGGTCCTTTAAAGTGTTACTAAACCCACAGCAGTAAAATCAGTCTGTATATGCAGCAAAGCATGCTTGTTATACTCACTCTGGAACCTAAGGGGTTAATCTTCTGCATTGTGTAAAATGGCCGTTTGATCCTGTCTTCTCTGCTCCTCCTCTTGTTCAAATGTCCAAGTCTTATCGCCTGATAAGACAGACGGAACCCGTAGCCACATGTGCATGCTCAGTTTAGAGTGTATTGCTAGAGAGGTTTTATTTTTTCATTGTGAGGGTGCATGTGATCAGCACAGGGCTAAATCAGCACTCTCCAGACAGAGGTCAGGGGTTCTGCATCCTCCTAGAGCAGAAAGAAAACTCCTCCTACAAGCTTTAACCAGTGCTCTGTAGAAGTCACAAGACTGCTCTAACTGCTGATGGGAAAAGGTATTTAGCAGTTTATATTTACTAAAATAATTGCATTTCCATGTTGTGTGTACTGTGGGAGACCAGATATAGTGAATGCAGGGGCCTGGGTTTAGTATCACTTTAACTAGTTTTTTTGTGCCAAGTTGGCCCAAACAAACTACTTCTTACACTAATAGGTCATCTCGCTGGGCGTGCTGTATAAACTGTACGTAGCCTTGGTTATATACAGTATACAGCGCTGTGGAACGTTCCAAACCCGGAACCAAATTGCTGCTCAGCTATTCATAGGCAGCTCTGTATTCTCTGAATAAATGTCATCCTGTTTGCCTCAGCCGATCTGAGGAAGAGAGAATACAAGACAATTGAACTCACCACTGGAGACACCTCTGCTCAGGCTCTTCCTTTCCTGTTAGTCACACACACACTCGGGGTAAATTGGATGGACCGGTGTCTTTATTCAACCTTACCAACTAATTATGTAGGTAGGGCAGTCCCCAGGCAGTAGGGCAGGTCAGTAATGGATGGACTGAGTGAGGGCAAACTCTCAGCTTGGTTGAATGTACTCTATGGGCCGCTGCCTTGTGGTGATCCCCCCCCCCAACCACATAGAGACACTGTGCCCAGGTCGGCTGCCCAGTCCCTTACATGGGAGCTGCAGGATCATGTGACCAGGCCAGATTAGAAATAGGTATTTACACAGATCTGACATGTAGGATAGTGAGAAAGATGGAGGGGATGCATTTTTAAGAGTAATTGTTATTAGCCTTTACTACTGCTTTAAAATGGTTGTAAACCTCAGACATAAAATATGAACAAAGCATATCCCTCTATAATGTATGTTTATCCCAATCCAGAGCACTAAGTGTCATTTCTGTCTGCTGTCTTGTTCCTCTGCTATTAGCATGAATCACATCTGACAAGTTTTTCTGACACCAAGAGAAAAATGGTGACAGTTGAGGGACCTCTAGCTGATTGGCAGTCTCAGTTCTGTTCCTGTGTGCTGTGTGAAGGGGGGGTGTCCCTTCCCTCCAATCAGCTCTCAGAGCTCTCCTCACTGATGTAACTCCAGCTCCCTGCCCCCTGCTTTTCAGAGCTGAGAGATCCTGTGTAAATTCTACACTGTGGATGGATGTAGGGGAAAAACTGCTGTAGATGAACAGGTACAACTTATGTAGGAGGATTTGTTTAATCTCTGAGGCCAGTCCCTTCACTAGGTATATGTAAAGGTTTACAACCACTTTAAGAAAGAGGCAGAGCGCTGAAATGCATTAGAAGCTTAGGAAGCATGCTGATCTTGAGGGACACTAGCTGCTGTCAGTGTATCCAGCCCACCAGCACCAGCATTTCTGTTCACAGCCTTGTGGCTGCAGAGAAGTCCTTGGGCACTGTGTTTACATTACACTGTGGAAATTCTGAGCCCACTCACAGATGTTTATCTGTAAGTGGGGAACTGCCGTTTTATCCATGTTCTTCTTTTCATTCAACACTAGTTCTGCATTTGTTGAGTGCAGATTGAAAATCAGGACAGCCACCTATCTTAAATACAATTGTGCGTACCTGTATTGTCCACATGATATTACTATATTAGTGAGGACTACATAAACTGTACATACTGACCTTGTCCTGAATGCCTCCGCAGAATTAATTGTGGGATTTGAATATTGGGACATCATAAATGGGTGCATTGCTCTCTATATTGAAAATAGCCAATGACAATCACTGTGTTGGACCATACGGAATACAATACAAAAAATACAGGTTTTAGCCAATAACACAAAGAGAAAATTGGATGAACCACAGCAACCTTCTTTTTCCAGTGGTTTGATTGGTTGCTAAAGACAGTTGCATTTTCCACTTCCGCTATAAAGTACTGTACTGCATTAGCCTCTAGTGCATGAATATTTTCTTGGACAATTTATAACTTTTAAAAGAAAGTAGAAGCTATGATAAGCCACAAATAATGACCCCCAAAGTGATCAAAGTTAAGTGAAGGGATTAAAAATGGATGTCCTCAGCAAATCCTGCTTGTGTTAATTACAGGTTTCCTTTCAAGTTTGTGAAAGAGCAGATTATAATCGTATTGACGGCTTTGTACTGCCTATAACACCAATCAATTCAAAGCATTCTTTTGACATTTTAAAACACTAATGTGTTTATTTGTTGAAATCATTGCCGCAAGTGATTTATTTTCTTGTTGTCCTTTTTTTAGGGTTCAGAGAGATTGCTTTCTGGGGAGGAAGGTTCATCTTGATTCTGGCCCTTGTTACATTGGCCATTAATTATTTGACTCCTTATGTTTCCTCTTTTCGCCCAGCCAGTCATTCCCAAACAGGTAAGGCCATATGATCATAGTGTATAATATTTTTTTTTTATACATTATTTATTGTTCAAAGAATTCAGCAATGTAATACAGAACAGAAAGGAAAGAACATATGAGCTCTATATATTAAAAAGGTGGTAATTGAGCGCTGGGAACAATAGGAATAGTGAACAAAAGCTGCTAGCATAAAGGCAACCTCTAAACCCAATATCAAATAAACAAATAAAATATGCAGCGCTAATATGAATAAGTACATATGGATCAATCAGGTAAATCAAAACCATAAGTGGTACAATATCATATGTTAACACATATGCTAGCTCAGTCTTTAGACTAATAGTGTAGAGGTGATTAAGTGCAGATGTTACAGCGATCCATGGTCAGAGATAAAGGTGACTTTTGTGTACTTGTAAATGTACAAACAATGCACTAACCAGATAGCGCATATACAGTGGGGATCAAAATTTTGGGCACCCCAGCTAAAAATTTGTATTAATGTGCATAAAGAAGCCAAGGAAAGATGGAAAAATCTCCAAAAGGCATCAAATTACAGATTAGACATTCTTATAATATGTCAACAAAAGTTAGATTTTATTTCCATCATTTACACTTTCAAAATAACAGAAAACAAAAAAATGGCGTCTGCAAAAGTTTGGGCACCCTGCAGAATTTATAGCATGCACTGCCCCCTTTGCCAAGCTGAGACCTGCCAGTGTCATGGATTGTTCTCAATCATCGTCTGTGAAGACCAGGTTATGTCAATCTCAAAGGTTTTAAATGCCCAGACTCCTCTGACCTTGCCCCAACAATCAGCACCATGGGTTCTTCTAAGCAGTTGTCTAGAAAACTGAAACTGAAAATAGTTGACACTCACAAAGCTGGAGAAGGCTATAAGAAGATAGCAAAGCGTTTTCAGATGTCAATATCCTCTGTTCGGAATGTCATTAAGAAATGGCAGTCATCAGGAACAGTGGAAGTTAAAGCAAGATCTGGAAGACCAAGAAAAATATCAGACAGAACAGCTCGCAGGATTGTGAGAAAAACAATTCAAAACCCACGTTTGACTGCACGATCCCTCCAGAAAGATCTGGCAGACACTGGAGTTGTGGTACACTATTCCACTATAAAGAGATACTTGTACAAATATGGTCTTTATGGAAGAGTCATCAGAAGAAAACCTCTTCTACGTCCTCACCTCAAACATCATGGTTTGAACTTTGCAAATGAACATATAGACAAGCCTGATGCATTTTGGAAACAAGTTCTGTGGACCGATGAGGTTAAAATTGAACTTTTTGGCCGGAATGTGCAAAGGTACGTTTGGAGAAGAAGGGGCACAGAATTTAATGAAAAGAACATCTGTCCAACTGTTAAGCATGGGGTTGGATCAATCATGCTTTGGGGTTGTGTTGCAGCCAGTGGCACAGGGAACATCTCACGAGTAGAAGGAAAAATGGATTCAATTAAATTTCAGCAAATTTTGGATGGTAACTTGATGCCATCTGTGAAAAAGCTGAAGTTAAAGAGAGGATGGCTTCTACAAATGGATAATGATCCTAAACACACCTCGAAATCCACGGGGGATTACATCAAGAGGTGTAAACTGAAGGTTTTGCCATGGCCTTCACAATCTCCTGACCTCAACATAATTGAAAATCTATGGATAGACCGTAAAAGAGCAGTGCGTGACAGACAGCCCAGAAATCTCAAAGAACTGGAAGACTTTTGTAAGGAAGAATGGGCAAAGATACCTCAAACAAGAATTGAAAGACTCTTGGCTGGCTACAAAAAGCGTTTACAAGCTGTGATACTTGCCAAAGGGGGCAGTACAAGATATTAACTCTGCAGGGTGCCCAAACTTTTGCAGACGCCATTTTTTTGTTTTCTGTTATTTTGAAAGTGTAAATGATGGAAATAAAATCTAATTTTTGTTGACATATTATAAGAATGTCTAATCTGTAATTTGATGCCTTTTGGAGATTTTTCCATCTTTCCTTGGCTTCTTTATGCACATTAATACAACTTTTTAGCTGGGGTGCCCAAACTTTCGATCCCCACTGTATAGCGCATGGAGCATTTAAGACCTGCTCCTGGTGCTCTGCACTTGTAATAACCAGGCAGATGTCATCTACAGGTCGGCCACTAGATGTCCTCAGTCTGGGTGCATCCTTGGTCATTCCACCAGGACCAGCATCAGCATGAAGGGGGGGAGTCCCATAGAGATTCAAATCCTCAGAACCTTCAAGAAACGGGCTCACGTGGAAATAATGAGCCCAAAAGGTACTAATAGTGTAGTAGGCCTTGTTTATTTGGTCAAAGATCCAGCATAAAATAAATCAATAAAACTTACATAAAGAATAGATACAGATGAGGCCACCAATCAGGATGGCCTTGTGGTATATGCACACATAGGTGAGGGGCACCTCCCTGACGGGTTTCATGTACAAACACTTCCTCCAAATGTTTTCCTTCTCGGGCAATCCCATGTGCCAGATAAAGGAATCCAGACACTTGCCGCAAGAGCAAGTCTTGCTTGAGAATCAAGAGGAGTCAGGTCCCTGTAAAAGAAATAGGGAGTCCAAAACTTCCAGTAGCTGTCTTCCCTTTCCTTTAGAATCATGGTAAGGTTCTCCATTTCTTGGATTTCCTCAATCGTTGCCTTCCAATGAGCTATGGTCTGGGATCTTGAGCTTTTCTCTAATACCACAAGTCTTTGCGGCTGATAGTAAGTGTTTAAGTAAATCATTTTTAAATTTCTTATTAGAGGAGTATCATTCAGGAGGTAAGTAGCTGGGTTTTTGTTGAGGGTCACTTCTATTAGGGCCTTGATCGTATTTTCTACCTAATCCCAGAAGGCATTCAGTTTCAGGCAGTTCCAGAAGATATGAAGCATTGTGTGCTATTTTGAAGAAAAAGTTTAGAACCATCTACTGTAATAAATATAACTAAAGGCAAAAGTTTTTTTTTCTTAGTTTTGGATAGAGTGGAGATGGATTAGAGCACCTGTCAGTTTTTTATTGCATTCTGTGCCCCCCCCCCCATTAGGGAGCATTGCCCTCTCTGTTTGTCCTGGTGACTGTTATCATCGAAAGTCTTCCAGTGGTCACCAGAACAAATTTTAGGGGATGTCTTCCAATGAGGACACGTGTTCTGTTGACAACCAGGGATTCCCTAATTTTTGTCCCACTTCTGTTTTGGCTATGGAACAAAAGTGAAGGGAAATTTTCCCAATGGGACACAGATGGCAGAATAATCTAACAGGTTATAACCATCTATTACGTTATCCAAAATTAAAAAAAAAAACTTTAGTTCTACTTTACAATGCACCCCCATTTCTCAATATTGCGTCCATTTTACATCTCAACAAGGATGTGGCTAAATTTTGCATTATTTCTATTTTTGTTACAAAGATAACTTGGCTAAAGGAAACACGTGCTATAAAATGGCATAGGGTTCTGATTTGATTTTTAAAACACTTGTTGGCTGGTTGTTACATTGACCCAAAAGCTTTGATGCTTTATAGGTAACTGACCCAAAACAAGTTTGCATATTAAGAATTCTCAATTTTTTTTCTGGCTATACTGGCTACATGATTGTTTCTAGACAGCTATTCAGAAAATTTTTGAAGGGCAGCCCCCAGGAAGTAGGGCGGGTGAGTACAGGATGGAAGGAAGGAGGCCATATCTTCATCACTTCAGGATTCTTTTAAGGCTGAACTTCAGGATTTAAAAAAAAAAAAAAAAGAAAGAAAACCCCTTTAGTGGGGTTCCCCCACACTGCTTGAATTAAATGCTCATTATTTCTAGGAGTATCTAAAGAGACTGTATTACTTGCCATACTTCTTGCCCAAGCTGGATTCAGCGCAGTTCTCTTCTCCCTGAATCTCTGTGTTGAGCCAGTCCATTGGTGCCCTCACATACAATGCAGGTCTTAAAAAGGTCTTAAAAAGGTGGCAGCACTGGACCCCTCACATAGATGAAGGATCCCAGGAAAAAGGGTATTATTCCTTTGCAAGAGTTTTTTTTTCCAGCCTGAAGTCCAGCTATAAAATAAATCACATGTCAAAACGATCAGGAGATGCAGAGATTTAGGTATTTGAACTAGTTTGCACTAGATTTTCACTTTTCTGTAAATGTCGAGCTTGGTCCAACCCCTTCCTGCCTCTCCAGCATGCTATTGGTTGTCCTAGTGTTGAGCAGCCTCATTGACCGATAGGGTAGGGCTGGACAAAGGTAGCCAGGAGCCAGGTAGCCAGTGCTTCTTAAAAAGTACAGGTGGTATCTAACTTTGGGAGTCTTCTCAAGTTGTTGGAAATGAAGCTGGCTCCTAAAAAAAATCCTGCTGGCTCTTGGACTGGCTCCTGAATACCATATTCATCTGTCCACCCCTGCAATAGGGAGACACTAGGAATTAACACATTAAGGTGCTCACTATTTTGTTGTGTGGCCAGGTCTGTTGTTAAAAAAAAAAAAAAAAAAAAAGTCCCTCCATGCACTTCTTCATTTCTGATGTCTGAGACCAGCATTGTTTTAGGTTACAGTGGATATAAAAAGTCTACACACCCCTGTTAAAATGTCAGGTTTCTGTGATGTAAAAAAATGAGACAAAGATTAATAATTTCAGAACTTTTTCCACCTTTAATGTAACCTATAAACTGTACAATTCAGTTGAACAACAAACTGAAATGTTTTAGGTGGAGAGAGAAGTAAAAATTAAAAAAAAACTAAAATAATAGGATTGCATAAGTGTGCACACCCTTAAACTAATACTTTGTAAAAGTACTTTTTGATTTTATTCCAGCACTCAGTCTTTTTGGGTATGAGTCTATCAGCATGGTACATCTTGACTTGGCAATATTTGCCCACTCTTCCTTTCAAAAACACTCCAAATCTGTCAGATTGTTAAGGCATCTCCTTTGCACAGCGCTGTTCAGATCACCCCACAATTTTTCGATCGGATTCAGGTCTGGGCTCTGGCTGGGCCATTACAAAACTTCAGTCTCCTTCTGGTGAAGCCATTCCTTTGTTGATTTGGATGTATGCTTTGGGTCGTTGTCATGCTGAAAGACATGTTCAAATTTCTCGCAGAAGCCCAAAGGTTTTGTGCCAATATTGACTGGTATTTGGAACTGTTCATAATTCCCTCTACCTTGACTAAGGCCCTAGTTCCACCAGAAGAAAAACAGCCCCAAAGTATGATGCTGCCACTAGCATGCTTCACTGTGGGTATGGTGTTCTTTTGGTGATGTGCAGCGTTTCTGCACCAAACATATCTTTTGGAATTATGGCCAAAAAGTTCAACCTTGGTGTCATCAGACCATAACACATTTTCCCCCATGCTTTTGGGAGACTTCAGATGTGTTTTTGCAAAAGTTAGCCGGGCTTGGATGTTTTTCTTTGTAAAAAAAGGCTTCCGTCTTGCCACTCTACCCCCATAGCCCAGACATATGAAGAATATAGAAGATTGTTGTCACATGTACCACACAGCCAGTACTTGCCAGATATTCCTGCAGCTCCTTTATTGTTGCTGTAGGCCTTTTGGCAGCCTCCCAGATCAGTTTTCTTCTTGTCTTTTCATCAGTTTTGGAGGGACGTCCAGTTCTTGGTAATGTCACTGTTGCGCCATATTTTCTCCACTTGATGATGACTGTCTTCACTGTGTTCCATGATATATCTAATGCCTTGGAAATTCTTTTGTAGCTTCTCTCCTGACTGATAATTTTTAAGAATGAGATCCCTCTGCTGCTTTGGAAGCTCTCTGTGGACTGGCCTGGCCTGGGCAGGAAGGGGGTGAAAGTGCCCGGTAGGCAAGTGGTTAAAGGTGGAAAAAGTTCTGAAATTATTTATCTTTGTCTCATTTTTTTTACGTCATAGAAACCTGACATTTTAACAGGGGAGTGTAGACTTTTTTTGTATCCACTGTATGTATGTTCCTAAGTCAGATGTGGCAAGCAGCTAATTGTGAAAAAAATAAAATATGAAAACAGGAAAAAAAAAAAAACAAATATTAAAGGTGAACTTTAAATGTTCATAATTACTTGTGATACTCATAACTTCTCTGTATACAGCTAATCTTTTTTCTGTTTGTTTTACATAAATATATCTTTAGTTGCACAAGATGAAATGGACAGACAGCAAGAAATTGCACGAAAAGGTCAACAAGATTATTTAAACAAAAAGGTGAGAATATTCTAATAAAAATGACCTATTTTCTCTGCTGTGTTTTTTTTTGTTTTGGATGAAGTTGGTAAGGTGTAGACCTGTGCTGTGATTTACTGCCCTGATGAAGTGTGTTTGGCCCCCGAAAAGCATTGGATTTTTCTATAAATTAATTTGATCATAAAAAACCTTGGACTTAGACATTTGTTTCTCCCATTAATTAAAAAAATTGGCAAGGGTTCTTGGCTTCCCCTACTCAAGAACTACATTTTTGTTTCTGTCTATATTGCTGTTGCAGATTATGCCTCCGTTCCTGTTAGGTAAATTGACATTTCAGCAGGAAGTGAGGGAAAATTTCTATAACGAAGCCCTGGACAACAGTAAATACTGACAGAGGTTTTAATCCTTCTCCACTCCAATCAAATCTAAGAAAAACAGTTTTGGCTGCATATGCACTTTAAATGACTTTAATATTCCTAACTTAAGCAGCCCATAGATCATGCAAGTTTTTTTCCTTCCACCATGGGTAGAAGGAAAGAAAATTGTTCAATTCACCCATCAACGCAGTCAGTGTTGATGGAGAAATCCCTCGCGCAGCACTATTGTGTTCTGCCAATGGGGAGGCTTCCCTGCCGGCAGAACACAGTGGTCACTGCTGGCTGCTATAGCCACTGGTAGTGATCGCATGAAAAAACCTGACAGGCTGGTTGTACTGAAGTCAATCGATGGATCAACTTCAGTACAACCAGCCTGCCCTTAGATGGATCAAATCTTGGCTGGTCCCTGCTTAACTGGCCGAGGTTTGATACATCTATAGCCAGCTTTAGTGTTCTGGGAACATCTTGTGTCTGTAAGGGCAGGGAAAAAACAAAACACAGATGAAGGAAGAGAGCAGGTGGAGCTCTAGCACAGGCTGTTGTCTCAGACACGGTGCCACCTTTAGGCTTCATTCATATCATATGTGCTGATAAACTGATGGAAACTGATATGCAGATTTCACTTGCAGAGACATCAGTTTACATCAGTTTTCATACATGAGTTTTATACACGTTGCAGATTCCTGTGCAGAAAAAATCTGCACATGATACTAGAGTTGTGATGTAAACAGGGCACATAGAGAACAATTGATTTAGTTGTGCCCTTGCATAACGAGCACAGAAAACACTGATGTCTCTGCACCATGGTGTGAATGAGCCCTTACAGCAGAGAAGGGATAGGATAGGTGACAAAGTATGTGCATACAATCACAAATGTTTGTCACCAGAAAATCATCTCCTATACACAATGTGTATAATTCAAATTACTTAAGCCTTAATCTGTTTGTGGCATATTAGGGAGTACTTGTTTCAAATAATATGTTTCTTACATTCTAGTACATTATCCTGGGATAACGGAATGTCATAACACTTTGCCCGTTCCGAAGATATTGTATTTATTTGGAGTATTTATCATTGACAGGCAAAGGAATACTCTGAGGATGTTTTAAAACCACGTGAAGCTGAAAAACTTAAAAAGCAAGAAGAAACCTTTTATAGGATGACAGGCAAAACCTGGAAATTAACAGAAGGTCATAAACTTGGTGTAAGTAGGATTAGAAGGAATGCTGCCTTAAATGTTTTACATTTACATACTAGTGCTTTGTACTAAGACTCCAATGGACCGAACTTGTCAAACCAAATCTATTGCCCTCTCTCCATGAGCAGATAGTACAAGAGTCTGGCTATCCATAAGGGTTATAGGTCAGGGGTAGGAAACCTTTCAGAGGTAGAGATCTACCCAGGGGCGGACTGACCATTTGGAAACTAGGGCACTGCCCGAGGGCCCGGGGTCAGTGAGATGCCCCTGGTACCTTTTTTTATAGGCTTTTTTGAGTGTGGGCAAGGACACGGGTCCCATGATCCCCTATTGCCAGAGGGCTCCATGAGTTGTCAGTCCGCCCCTGGATCTACCTGAACAACATGAAAGAGATCAAAGATCACTAGGGTTTGGTGCCCTTTTTAAAAAAAAATTAATTAACTAGCAAGGCCTAACTAAGTAGAAAATTTAAAAAAATATAATAAATCATTGTAAAATTATAAACTTAGCCTATCTTAAAAGTGGACAGTATCAGTAGGGCAGCGGTTGGTGTCAGTAGTGCAGTGGCTGGTTTCAGTAGGATAGTGGACGGTGTCTGTAGTTTTCATTTGTATTATTTTTTACAACTTTTTTATTTTCCATTTTACAATTTTATTTTTTATATTTTTTTTACAGTTTTTTAGGAGCCCTGTTGGGGGCTTTGGTGAAAGGTCTAAACAGACCCCTGATGTCTCACTTTTGAGAAGGAGAAAGTGACTGAGGATAGATTTCACCATCCCTTTCTCTGCAGCCTGGGGTGGTTGGGAATTCAGATTTTACCACCTCTCCATCCTGACACTCTTAGGCGGCTGCGTAACTATCGAGTGTCCTCTGCCCCCCACATACAGTAATGACCTCTGCCCCCCATAGGAGTGTCCTCTGCCCCTCTCCACATCACCCCCCACCCCACAGTAGTGTCTCCTGCTCCTCTGCCACCCACGCAGTAGTGTCCTCTGGCTCTCTGCCCCTTTTACCTTACCCTCATGATAGCGCCCTCTGCCCAGCCCCCCCGCAGTGTCTTTTGCCCCCTTTACCATCACCCCCTTCTTATATAAAGCAGTGTAATAGCCTAATTCTCCTATTTACATAGGTGTACACAGATTGGAGAACAAGAGGCTGCACAGGTCTGGATGGAGGGTGGGAGCAAGAGCTGCTGAAGTCCATCATACCACCAAGCTGGTGATTGATTGCTAGGTCCCCAAGCAAACATCTGCCAGTTAACTTGAAAAGTAAAATTGTCCAGCTCCGTGGTCCATCCAGAGCTGTGTAGCCCACTGCTCTCCGACCACTCTGCAGAGAGGAAGGAAGAGCACGGTAGAGGAGGCTAGGAGGGAAGGACTAGCACCAAAGTAGCGGGGATCAGCAAAGCAGAAAAGGGTTCCTGATCTACCTGTCACCTGCCAGCAGTCAACAGGTAGATCTGAATCGATAAGTTGCCGACCCCCAGTATAGATCATCCTGTCATTATCTTAATTTCATAATTTACTTTGAACTTTGTGTGTCTTATGTTTCTCTTACTGGATGAGCTTGAGAACTGGAGCCATCTCATGCTGCTTTGAAATTCATAATTGGTTCAAGGCAAACATTATTTACAGTTGCATAGTGTATGGGTATGGTACACTATATGGCCAAATGTTTGCAGATACCTAACCATCACACCTTCCCTATGGCCCAAATTATGTTGACTCCCTTCTAAATTATTGAGTTCAGGCGTTTGAAGTGAAGGGTACTGTCAAAGTATCTGTAAATGTACGTTAACTAAATAATACTTGTATGTTGATATAGCTAATATCATTCCTATACCATAAGCTTGATTATGTTAGTAAAACCTCTTTTAGTGGTTTAATTTTGCAATTACGTTGCAAAGCCTTGCTCTTTTCCAGGTAGTGGTGGGGGCACTTTGCGTCTTTTTTTCATCACACACAGCGGGGAAGTACTGTGTTCGGTGCGGCTGAGGCAGTATTTCAGAAGGAGCTTCAAAGGAGCCACTGTAATCAAGTAAGCAGCACTGGAGGGGGGTGTGGCTGCTAATCAGACCATGATAGATACTTTGAGAAAAATCAGAGAAGTTTAAAATGAACGGACACTTTTTGCTTTACATAACATGTAATCACATATACATCAAAATCACAAAGATCACGCATTAAAAGGAAAAAAAAAAATAAAAATTTTCGAGTGACAGTCATATGACTCAAAATAAAGATACTTATTCTTGTGTTATAGCTTTGTGCATTGAGCCTAAAGACATTTCAGACAATTGTACACTTCTAACATTGTGGCAACACAAAATAGGATCCATAAAGACATGGTTTGGTGAGTTTGGTATGGGGGAACTTGAGTGACCTGCACAGACCTCTGAACTTATCCTTACTGAACATCTTTGGGATGAATTAGTACCTCAATCGCCAGCCAGATCTTCTGATCCAGCGTCAGTACTTGACCTCCGAAACACTGATGAGGCACAAATTTCACCAAAAATCTTCACAAAATCTTGTGGCATACCCTCCGAAGACTGGAAGGTGTAACATTCGCAGTGGTGGGATACTCCATATTAGTGCTCATAGTTTTAGAATTAAATACCCAACAAGCTCATAAAGGTGTGATGGTCAATATGTTCACAAACCCTTGGCCATATAGCATGCAAAAATTATCCCAACCTCAGTTCTATCAACCTAAATTTGCCAGGTTTGCCTTTGGCACCAGCATTGTTATTGAATTCTAAAGAAATGTTGTGTTGTCCCAGGTTGTGGTTTTGAGTTCCCCTGGACCCTTCTGAAGGAGGCTAGCATTCTTTTACAGTATTGAGAAGAAACAGAGGATGCATACACACTATGGGGTTGATTTAATACAACTGAAGAGTGCAACATCTGGTGCAGCTGTGCATAGAAACCAATCAGCTTCCAGGTTTTTTTGTCAAAGCTTAATTGAACAAACTAAAGTTAGAAGCTGATTGGCCACCATGCTCAACTGCACCAGATTTTGCACTTTCCATTTTTAGTAAATCAACCCCTATGCATGCTTTGGATATGACCATCCAGATGTAAGGTGACTTCTGATGTGTTAAAAACTGTAATATAGAATTTCTATACTAACACGTAGGATCTTTCAAATTTGAAATGGATCTTTGTATTTGTCCTGTAATAAAGTTTTATAGCCTATTGTGTCTGGTGACACATGCACATTTATAATGGTTCGTTTTTTTTTCCCTATTAGATTAAATAGATTTTGCTGCTTGGTCTGCTTACATGTAAATATTTGTTTACCACACGACTCATTAATCAGACAAATGCCTGCTATCGAATTCTGTTGAAATGCTTTGAAATAAAAGAACAAGCACAATAGAGCCTGTGCCATTCAAGAGACCGCAATGGAAATTATGTATGTAGATGACAAGAAGCAAATTGGCAGAAATCTGAAATATGTCTAGAAAGCCATGAGATGAAAAATGGTTTGAATTGTCAGGCTGAAATAAACTAATGTACAGGCTACAGCACTTGGCAATTGTTTGGCAAGCAGCCAGATATCTCTTTTTTTTTTATTTTTAAGATCAAATTATGTTTCAGTATATGCATATTGGAATCTGTGGTCTAGATCCATTGAGATCCTTCTTTTTGAACATAACCATTCAGTCTGACTGCGTTTCAAAACGTGAAAGGTACTTTATTGTATTTTCAATGATTTTTTTTTTATATAAACTTGTTAAAGAAAACAGTTCTATGTGATTAATATTATTAGTGTGTTATTTCTTTAAAAAAACATTTTTTAAAATACGTAATGCTATTATGTCTATACATGGGAGAAGCTTTATTTGTTCATTACATATGGAGGCTCTGCTCTCTACTTTGTATTGCAATCAACAACTATACATTTTTCAGCTGGCTGAAAACAATGCACTGTGGGTGAGGCAAACATTTTTTTCTCAACAGATGTACAGAAAGGAGACAGACAGAGGGCTGTTTCACACCATGAATCACACAGGAACGTGCTGTGCGTTCCTGTGCAATTCACGTGTGATCTGGGTGTATTGCGATTTCAGCCCATTTATGTAAATGGCCTGAAATTACGCCAGACTGTACCAAAAGTAGTACATACACTACTTTATAAAATGCACAGCAACTGGATGACATGGTACTACTGTGATCTGGTGCAGGCAAACACACTGCATTTGGGGTGTCGGAAAAGTGGTTCCAAAGGCTGAAGTTTTTTTTACAGACCTTTTGTCGTAAGGTCCCATTTACCATCCTCCTTCACGGTCACTGGCTTTAACAGCATGACTGTTGGTGCCCAGGTCCTAAGGGAAAGGGGTGCCTTAGAATCAATGATTCCCACACTTCTTAAGGTGGTTCTAAAGGTTCAAGGTTTTTTACAGACCTTCTGTCGTAAGGTCCCATTTACCATCCTCCGTTACGGGTGCTGGCTTTAACAGCATGACTGTTGGTGCCCAGGTCCTAAGGGAAAGGGGTGCCTTAGAATCAATGATTCCCACACTTCTTAAGGTGGTTCTAAAGGTTCAAGGTTTTTTACAGACCTTCTGTCGTAAGGTTCCATTTACCATCCTCCTTCATGGTCGCTGGCTTTAACAGCATGACTGTTGGTGCCCAGGTCCTAAGGGAAAGGGGTGCCTTAGAATCAATGATTCCCACACTTCTTAAGGTGGTTCTAAAGGTTCAAGGTTTTTTACAGACCTTCTGTCGTAAGGTCCCATTTACCATCCTCCGTCACGGGTGCTGGCTTTAACAGCATGACTGTTGGTGCCCAGGTCCTAAGGGAAAGGGGTGCCTTAGAATCAATGATTCCCGGACTTCTTAAAGTGGTTCTAAAGGCTCAAGGTTTTTTACCTTCATGCATACATAGGTAAAAAACCTTCTATGTGCAGCCCCCCCCCCCCCCCCCCCCCCCCCAATACTCACCTTCTCGATCCAGCAATGTGCACAGGAGCCTCAGCTGTCCCAGGATCTCTCTCTCCTCATTGGCTGAGACACAGCAGCAGGAGCCATTGGCACCCGCTGCTGTCAATCACAGCCAGTGAACCAATGAGGAGAGAGAAAGGGGCCAAGTCACGGCTTTATGTTTCTTATGGACACACAGAGCGGGGATTGGGAGCGGGCACGCACCGGTGCCCCCATAGCAAATGGCTCACTATTGGGGGCACTGGTCAAGGGGGAGGAGCCAGAAGCGTCAGTGGAGGACCCAAGAAGAAGAGGATACGGACTGCTCTGTGCAAAACCATTGCCCAGAACAGGTAAGTATAACATGTTTGTTATTTAAAAAAACTAAAACGAAGCTTTAGTATCACTTTGTTAATACTGACATTCACTGCAGATTGCAAGTGCACTGCATTTTAAACACAGTGCGTGAAACACACATGGAACACGGGTTTCCCACATCGTATTCTAGTGTGATCTGGCCTAAATGCAAATTGAGTATATGCTCTTTATAAGAGTCCATGCAAACTAGGGGCAGAAAAAGCAGCATCAAAAATGTTTATGGGAGTTTATGTACATTTGTTTTCAATAAGCATTGTTTTTCAAAACATTCTCTTCTGCTCATTTTTTTCACTGTACACTTGAAAACAAACTCTCCTAAATGCCATATTTATGAGCGTCATACGTTTTTTTCTGTCCGAAAGCTCCTCTCGAAAATGCAATTCTGAAATTTTTTTGTCCGACTCTAAACACGCCTCCGAAAATATGCTTGGAAACTCCCTAAGGCAGTGTTTCTCAACTCCAGTCCTCATGGACCCCCAACAGGTCATGTTTTCAGGATTTCCATTATTTTGCACAGGTGATTTGATCAGTTTCACTGCCTTAGTAATTACCACAGCTGTTTCATCTGAAGGAAATCCATGTTCACACTAGGTTTGTCAGCAGGCGCTCTTCAAGCGCTTATGAAAATTCTGCACATGGCAGCACACAGTGCTGTTCACACTGAAGCATTAGCGTTGCGGCAAAACTGACGCCTCATGTCCTGTCAGGAGGAGTTGAAGCCTGCCATTCAAGTCTATGGTGCCGCTCCTCAAACGCCTGGCAGGCGTTTTCGAGGCGTTTGCAGAGCATTAATACCACTTAACTATAGGCGTTTGTGGTGCAGTTTTAAGGGCTCGTTCACACTTGACTGTTTTACAAACGCTTGCCAAACGCCCCTATAGCATTTGGCAAGCGTTGGTCCGGCGTTTGCGGAGCGTTTTTTAACGCTTGGCAAATGCTGCATGCGCGGTTTAGCAGCGGTTGCTAGGCGTTTGCCGAGTGTTAAAAACGCCCCACAAATGCCTATAATGAAGTTTAAATGGTGTTACCGCGCCGCAAATGCCCCGCAACCGTGCCGCAAAAGCCGGCCGGGCGTTTGCAGAGCGGCACCATGAACTAGAATAGGAGGCTTCAACGCCTTCTGACTCGACCAGAGGCGTCCATTTTGCCACGACGCTAACGCTCCCGTTAGAACAGCACCATGTGCTGCAATGTGCAGAATTGTCCGAGGCGTTTGGGAAGCGGTAAAAACGCTTCCCAAACCGCCTCTCTGCAGCATGCACACAACACTAGTGTGAAAGTAGCCTAACACCTCAAAACCACGCATAGGGCGTTTCCCAAACCCCTGTGTACGGCCTGTCAAATGCTATAGGGGCGTTTGGCAAGAGTTAGAATTAAGTCAAGTGTGAACGAGCTCTAGTGTGCATGGACACACAGGCTTAACAGCAGGCTGAAGAAAAAAAGTGCAAAACGCATGTAGAAACGGCCTTCTTTCTATGCCCAGTGTGTATGGACCCTAAAGGCTAATCTACAAACTGCTGTACATAATACCATAACAATAATATGGAAGAGTAGGCATATAAAACCGTAAAAGTCACGTCAGAAATTATTTGAAGATAAACATTGCAATACCTGAAAATCTATTATTCTTTTTCTTTAAGCATTTTCCAGAGCCATGCTATTTTATACATAGCTAGATTTTATCCTCAATTTTTGTATTGTTTTCTTTACCTTACACTGTTTCACAGGATGAACATTAGAATGTTAATTATGGCAATGTCTCACATATTATCACATCGCCACAAACTGGAAAATAAACACAGGCTTGCTTCATAATCTCTGATTTCTCCATTTCACCCAGCAGGAGGCAGAGGAGTCTGAAGGTAACATGGATAGTGAGGACTATGGAGAGGAAACCGCAAATGAAAAGGCTATTAGAAAAAGAAAACTTCCAGAGCATGTTACAAAAGCTATACCGAAACCTGAACAGCCAAAGCCTAAAAAGGTATTTCATACTGTATAGTTTAATCGGATTGGGATAGTGATAAACCAGTTATTACCCTGGGTATCTGCTGTTATAGGATGCGTTATGATTGATACATTTCAGAGCAAATTGTTATTAACTCTTTATGATTTTTTTTAAGGATCACAACATACATTATGTTTTTCTCATTACCTATTTGTTATGTATTCAATTGCTGTTTCTGGAAGATAAATACATAGCCACTACGTGACATCCTGCTGCACAACCTCTCCTGATGATCGTGGGTACCTCTTCATTTCTGCTGTATTGGATGATATCTGTGTATATATGAACCATGTCATCTCCTGTCACCCACATGCAAGAAACTACCATCTCATAACCCCTTCATTTAACATATCCTAGAGGGGTTTTCCTGGATTCTTTACAAAATTTGCGCTATACTTGATGCCGCATGCTCCTTCCAGATGTTCTTCAGCAGCGACACATAGCCTGTTCTTCCTCCCCTATGGGATGGATGCCAGCTTGATAGCTCCTGTACCTAATACCTTGTCTCTTTTTTCAGCGATTATTTATCTTCCTAGTTGTTTTTTTAAGTTTGTACAACCAGATTTTTGGTGCATTGTTTGGGACCAATGGTGTGTGCAGAGATGGGAGGGCTAGGGTTCTGTACACTTTGCTGACAATGTATGAGATATTTGTGATCTGTTATTAGTATTATTATTATACAGTAGTATTTATAAAGTGCCAATGGTTCGCTCAGCGCTGTACATTACAAAGGGGGACAGAACATGTGACAGAACAATAACAATACAATGCAAAACATGAGGGGATTGAGGGCCCTGCTCTTTCGAGCTTACAATCTAGGAGGGAGGGGATAGTGGTACAGGAGGAGATAGCTGTGGGGGATGGAGTGGTAGGAGGGGTGGAGGAGGTCGGCAGGTTAGCAGGGGGTGGGGTAGGCTTCCTTGAAGAGATGGGTTTTCAGGGTGCGCCTAAAGGAGAGGAGAGTAGGTAATAATCTGATGGGTTGGGGCAGGGAGTTCCAGACGATGGGTGACACCCTGGAGAAGTCCTGGAGGCGGGCATGGGAGGAGGAGACCAGGGAACTAGAGAGGAGGAGGTCTTGTGAGGAGCGGAGTGTGCGTGCTGGGTGGTACTTGGATATTAGGTCAGTGATGTAGTACGGGGCAGTATGGTGGACAGCTTTGTACGTCAGTGTTAGGATTTTGAATTTGATCTGTTGCGCAATCGGAAGCCAGTGGAGGGATTGGCAGAGGGGGGTGGCAGAAACGGAGCAGTTGGAAAGGTGAATAAGTCTGGCAGCCGTATTCAGGATCGACTGAAGCGGGGATAGCCAGCCAGTACTGTAGAGGCGGGGATACCCCCCTGTAATTTGTCTGCACTTCATCATATGCCTAGGTCACTTTTGGAGGTGCTAGCACGACAACACTGACTCCTAAACATTTCTATGGCATCTTTATGACCCAACTAAAATGTCTCACTTGGAATATCCGCGGTCTCCAAGATAAAGTGAAACGAACTGCGGTGTTGACTCATCTTAAAAAACAAAGGGTTGATATAATGGCCCTAGTTGAAACCCTCATAAATGGTCCCCTGCGGAGATCCAGGATAGGATGGACTGTCCATGCTACTCACACCAGTTATTCTAGAGGAGTCTCTGTACTGACTGCAAAATCAGTGCACTTCGAGCCATTGAATGTCGTGCTGCACCCTGAGGGCCGGTATGTTTTTTTGCAATCCCCTGGTATGTTCCTCCCCCTTACAATTCCGCTGTACTCAGTGACCGTTTTAACTTTATGCCCCAGTATGCCTCATATCCTGTGATTTGTATTTAAATGGTTAATTTATAAACATAACTTTATTAATTTATAAACAAGAAGACATGAGCAACAAGACACGCCAATGCAGGGGCTATCAATTGCACATAAAAAGTAAAGAAAATAGTGTTCTAACACCAACAGAGCAAAAGGTGCACCCACGCAGGAGCTATCAATGGCACATAGATTAATTCCTGTGATTTGGATGGGAGACTTTAACATCACCCCCTCCTTCAATCACAGCACGCATTTTCATCTCTTGAATTAAAGGTACACATGTGCCAAAAATGAAAACTAAGCCCTGAAATTCAAACAGGCTACTGACTTATACCTCTTGTTTTTCATTCAGACATAACTGTAGTTTATCACACCAGTTCACTGCTAAAAATGACATAACCTATATAAAGTCTTGGGGGATATTTGTTGTTGGGATATTGGTATTTTTTATCCCACCCACTATCAGGTTCTAGCAAAAATCTGTTGCTGATATATTTGAAATTACAGGCCAAGTATGAGCCATTAACTCAAATACTTACCTTTCTACTTGATCCAGTGATCTACGCTCTACAGCTCAGGCAAGGCTTTCCAGTAAAAAATGTTCCCACTGGGTCTTTATTACACCTTGGCCCTATTCATTCTAATGGATAAGCTATACTTCTGTGGTCATTATTAGTACAGCAACAAAGGAAAGAATAGGGCCACAGCACACACTAAGGCATCATTCACATGGCCATAACAATTTTACAGATGTTATTACACATGTGTTTTCTAGGAGAAAAGTTCCTGCATAATGATTATAATATAGATTCATTTAAACGCATAAAGACGCCCATGCTTTCATTTGTTTTTTTTCTTTGTTTAGACTTCAGTTACACGCTTACAAATACATATACATGCGTTTTATATGCATAAGCACTTAAAGCGCATGTTCTTAAACAACGATTTTTTGATTCTGTGTTACAGATCTGAATGCAGTGCTTGTTTATGCATCTGTGTGAATGACTCCATTGAAAGCAATGCTGCTGTGTTCAGATCCATAATTTAAAAAACACTTAAATATGCGTTTTTTTATGGCTCTGTGAATGAAGCATAAAGGGGGAAGTGTTTCCTGGAAAGGCTGTACAGTTCTGGTCCGGGCCGCATAGCAAAGAACGCTGAATTGAGGAGGAAGGTAAGTTTGTGAGAAGGTGGTCTGCACTCAGAGGAGTGGGGGGATTGATTAACCACTTGCCCTCCTGAGGATTTATCCCCCTTCTTGACCAGGCCATTTTTTGCATTACGACGCTGCATTACCTTAACTGACAATTGCGCGGTCATGCAAATGAAATTTACGTCTTTTTTTCCCCACAAATTGAGCTTTCTTTTGGTGGTATTTGATCGCCTGTGCGTTTTTTTTATTTGTTGCGCTATGAAAAAAAAAGGCTGTCAATTTTGAGAAAAAAAAACAATATTTTTGACTTTTTGCTATTAAACATGTCCAGTAAAAAAATTTAAAAAATCAAATTTCATCATAAATTTACGCCAAAATGTATTCTGCTACATGTCTTTGCTAAAAAAAACAATCCCAATACGTGTAAATTAAATAGTTTACGTGAAAGTTACAGCGTTTACAAATGGCGGTATATATACTGGGAATTTTTTTTTTTTTTCTTTACTACTAATAGTGGTGATCAGCGACTTATAGCGGGACTGTGGGACTGTGGCGGACATTGTGACACTGGGGGGAACTGACTTGGTGTCGCTGACATCCCCAGTGATACCAATACAGTGATCAGTGCTGACACTGTACTAATGGCACTTGGCAGGAAGGGGTTAACATGAGGGGCGATCAAAGGGTTAACTCTGTGCTGGGTGTGGTTTACTAGGGGGCAGTGTCAGTGTGCTTCACTGTACTCACACTGTGCTGTGCATAGCCATCCAAAGCAGTGTGCCCGAGCTGACAGAGAAGAGAACTGTTAGTAAACAAAACAGTTCTCCCCTTCGGAGATCCTCGAAAATCACCTGGTGCCAGCAAGTAATCAACAGCCAGAACCCGGTGATTGACAGCCATGGCCGCGAATGGCGGCACAGGTAGGGCACACGCGTGACTTGCGTGCACCCCCTACCCAGAAATGCAAAATCACGTACATATACGTGATTTTACAAACTCGTGCCGCCCTGTAGCAATATTTCTGCTATAGGGCAGTCGGGAAGCAGTTAAAGGACAGTTGAACTAAGGGTACAGTTGACCTTTAAAATAATATTGGGTGATCCTGCCATGAAGGTCCTTTTTTTTTAGGCTCTTCCTGTTATAAGGTGACAAGGTTCTGTCCCTGTCTTCCAAACACTAACGTGCATTTTCAACTATAGGTGGCTGTGCCAAAACTTATTGTGAAGACATATTGGACTTTTCTCATTATTGGGAAACAAGCCCTGTGAAATGCCATGCAGCCATCACTGGAGCAAGCCCATACAGAGATATAGTGACTGTAAAGAGGCTGCTGGGGATCAGGAGCACTGAGATACAAGAAAGCATAGAAAAAAAAGTTTAGTAAACTAAATGTCCTTCAGGGTTTAGCGTTTGGGACGGACCAGAGGATATTGAAAATCTCTGAAGCTGAGTAAATTTATATTTCTCTCTCCCCATGGACCTTGAATTGCTTCTTTCATTGTGTATGTTCACACTGTGGGATTGATGGTAGGGAGTTACAGCATGTTTGGATATTCGGCAATTGTAAATTACATGATAGATCATTAAATTGGGTTCTTTTATTTTTGTATTCACTTTCCTGAATTTTGGCGCTGATGGGGTTCATTCTACAAATAAATTTGCATGGTTTGTCATTAATTGTGACTATTAGATCTCTTTCCTACTGGTCTCAAAAGTGTAGGTTTCTTGTGAATGCCTAAACTATTTAGTTTTGAGATAGAATGTCAGATAGATTTTCCTTCTAATAAATATTTTTTTTTTGTTACTTAAGTAAACCTCAGACATAAAATATGAACAAAGCATATCCCTCTATAGTGTGTGCTTGTCTCAATCCAGAGCACTAAGTGTCATTTTTGTCTGCTGTTTCCTTGCTCTGATGTCTGCATGAGTCACTTTTGACAGGTTTTCCTGACAGGAAGAGAAAAAAAGATGACAGGGGAGGGACCTCCAGCTGATTGACAGCCTCAGCTCTGTTCCTGTTTGCTGTGTGAAGG